CTCATCTTTTTAAGTGGGAGAACTTGCACAATTGGTGGCTGACTAAATACTTTTTTGCCCCACTGTATTTAAAAAATATAGGGAAAGAAGCAATTTGCTGCCACGTTTTTGTGTATAATCTTGGGCAGTCTAGCAAAAATATCTTTGGGGGCATGGGCTGTTCTTTTGTTGCTCATATCTGGTGTAGCATTTCAGAGTGACAGACAAAAGGACAGCAAATACCATTTTTTCTAGCTCTGTTGCATGAACCTAAATTTGTATTCAATCTTCTGCATTTTCTCTTTATGTTGCAGTTAGGCTGCTAACTGCGTATAGTACTTTTTATTTACAGCAATAGATGAGCTATTTTGTTACATTATTTTTTTCTAGAATTTATGTTCCAAATTTCTTTCTGTTATGTTTAGGAAAATATTCCAGTTCAGGCTGCATCTGGTACTGAGCTAGGACCATATTTTCAAAAATATAGCAGTCGAACTCAGGAAGCCATATTCTATATGAATCCCTATAAGATCAACTTCGATCTCATCCTGGAGTTACTTGCATTTTTAGGTAAGGTTTTGAACAATTGCATAAAAAACAAATTTAAAATGGATTTCTAACTGCTAGTCTTTTTTTTTTTTTAACCATAAGGCTACAATCCAAACATACTTGCTAAATCATGTAAACACATTGGGAATTATTTCTGGTTAAATTAATATAGGGGTATATCAGTGTGTGTGTGTGTGTACTTTTTATTAAATTCTGTCTTTCCCCTTACAGACAGAACTCCCCAATTCAAAAATGTGGAAGGAGCTGTCTTGATTTTCCTGCCAGGCCTTGCACATATCCAGCAGTTATATGATCTCATTTTGACTGACAGAAGATTTGATCTAAGACAGAGGTAAATAAATCATGGAAAACTAATATTTTTTAAATTTTAATAGAATCTAATTAAAATGTATATTGTTGTATAGGTTAAATTATGAAAAGGTAAACAGGATTGCTAGCTGAAAATATGAATTTTAGCTTAATATGCAAATTGTTTTTTTTCTTATTTGCATATTACCTATATAAACACCAAAAACAGTTTTTATCATAGTAGAAATGTCTGCTTCTGGGTGTAAAATAAATTATATACAACTAAACTATCTACTTGTAAAAATGTTCAGAAGAGTTTTCTGAAAATGTTCTCAAGTAATAGATATATGAGTTCATACAGAAATAATATATAACTAACAAGAAATATAAATATAAAAGTATGTCACATATGTACAGACTTTTCTTGAATTTTAAAAAGCTATTAAAGGACAGATTTTCATTGGCAATGTTAAACATTTCAATATAGTATAAGCTGCATTTTTGTAGTAAATTGTATTAATTTAATGTATCAAGTCCTAATGATTAATCAAGTTATAAATCCAAATATGCATATTGTCTGCTTAGATTATGCCTTTAGTATAAGTCAAAACAGTACAATTTTTTTGCATTATATTTTGTTTTTTCAGGCACCAGTTAATAGCATTGCATTCTGTTCTGTCCACTCAAGAGCAAGCAGCTGCATTTACATTGCCTCCTTTTGGTGTTAGAAAGGTATGCTTAAGATATTAATATACACAAACTGATGTCACACCCTGCATCTCAAGTTGATCTTTCTTTCAGCCTTTTGTGTCATGCATGGTGGTTTTCATGTACTTTAAAGCAAGTGATTAATGGGACAAAACTGAACGTATCTCAAATGTTTCTAATGTGACCTTATGTTAAATGTTGCAATCTTGGAAAACTAGTTCTTGTCAAGTGTCCCTAAATCAATCTACATTCTTCTGAATGTTTACTTAAGCCTGGCATCTATCTCTGGACCAAGAGTAAGCAAACTACCCTTCAGAATTACATTAGTCTTCTATTCCTACGCTCATTAGTATCAGCCAGAAGGGACAATGACTAGGTAAGATAAAAGGAGTTTGTTCCGTCAACATCAGGAGGACCACAAGTTGCCCACTTCTGTTCAGATAACTCAATACTGTATTAACACAGAGTTTGTTATGAACATACTGCTTATAATAGTTAATACTAACTGTATAAAATAATTAGGAGCATTTTTGCTGGTTTGAGTGGAGTAGGTGGCACTGCTTAGCTCAGCTTATTTTTACTATTAAAATAGTACACCACCCTTCAAATCCAGATTTTAACCAGGGCAGCTGCTTAATTAATATTTACATTATTTTATTTATGCAGTAAAGCAAAATAATTAAAATGTATTAAATTAAAACAATAAATTATGAAATCAGGAGCATGAATAAAAATTAACTTAAGTAGCAGCATGTTAAAATTTAATTAACACATTAATAAAAATGTCTTACCTGATGCTGGAAAGAGTGTAAGTCAATCTCTGGTGTACTTCTAAAAATACTTTAGCATGAGAAGGTGTCCAGAGCAAAGTTTCTGAAGGTGATCTCAAGAGTGAGAACATACAGGAAGAGGCATTATCTTTGGTACTGTAGTTTTAATCTATGAAGGGTTTTTATAGGTTGAACTGGAATCAGAAACAAAGGTTTCTGAGAAGTCAGTGACGATCATATAAAATTGGCACAGTATGCTTATAACACTCAATCCAAGTTAGGATTCTGGCTGCAGTATTTTATGTTAAGTGAAATACTGGGATTCTTTGCAAGTACAGCCAATGTACCATACATTCTGTAATCCCTGTTTCTGGGGCATGGATTACCATAACAAGGCTCACTTTATTTTATTAATAAAAGAGTAAATGTTACAAATATATTGTCAGCATAATTAGAATCAGTTGTTTTGGATCCTAATTTTTGCTCATGTTCATAAAACAGACCTTTTCTTTTTTTTTCCCCTTTTCATGCATCACTCTACATTCCCTAAAATATGTTCTTTGGGAATGTTGCAAAACTCCAAGTATGATGGGACTAAATGGAAATTGCTCCTCCCCTACATAAATGGTGGAAGAACTTGGAATTCTGAACAAACATACTACTCATTCCAAGTTAGGTTTCTCTTTCTAAAAGTTAGAAACTTGCATATATGTATGTGTGTTTAAAAGCGTTTGTGTTCCTTTTACAGATTGTTTTGGCCACCAACATAGCTGAAACAGGTATTACTATACCTGATGTTGTTTTTGTAATTGACACTGGAAGAACAAAGGAAAACAGGTGAAAGCACTTACTTTTCACTAAAAAGGATCAAATTTCATTAGAGAAATATTTGGGGGGGTTTTTGCAATATTTTTTTTTATGCAATAGAGATATTTATTTTTATGCAATAGCTAGATATAATGTAGTTCTGTACTTTTTCTAGAATTTGACATTATACCTCAAAATAGCATTTTATTAGATCAACATGAATTCTGAGGAATGAGTAAATTGTATACTCATCAAAAGCATCATCACTTATTTTATTTCTTAAATGCAAATCTCCTTCCCTGAGCCTTTTTCACATTTTATTTTTGGCCATTTAGGCAGTTGTGGGGACTTTATCTAGCATACTGCAAGTGGAATGGGTGGGAGAGACTATGAATGGCATCTGAATTTGTGCCAGGAGTAATGGAACTGAAAGCTGCAATCCTCCTGATACTGGTCCCTTTTTCTGTTTTATTGTAGATCCTATCAAAATAAATAGGCATAGCTTTCTGTATTTGAAAATACTTAGCTACAGTATGTTTTCAGAAGCATTTATATAGAAGTAAATATGAAGTAGCGTTCTTTGTGGAGAGTTATTAAGTTTAGTATTATTAATGCTGTATGTGCTGGACATTTTTTCTTTAATACTTTTTCCAGGTACCATGAAAGTAGTCAGATGAGCTCATTGGAAGAGACTTTTGTCAGTAAAGCTAGTGCACTACAGCGTCAGGGGAGAGCTGGGCGTGTCAGAGATGGATTTTGCTTTCGATTGTATACCAGAGATAGGTAAAATTGTTTTAACCATCAAAATATTCTATGTTTAAGGCAGAACCATTTGCTAAAACTATAGCCCAAGCATATCTGTTATGATAGTTTGTTTACCTATTAAATTGTCTCACATATTCCACTACAAACATGCAAAGTTCATTAACCATATTATAAATTTCGTTGAAAGATGAACAATCCTTTGGGAGAACCTGCAGAACTAAACTAGCTTGTTTTGACTCTAAGTATCCTCTATTTTCCATATCCACCATCAAAGAAATGGTTGACTACTTAGTGCAAATGAACAATTCCCATTGTAGTTACAGGTCGTCCTTACTTAATGACTGTTTAACAACAGTTTGAAGTTACGACAGCCTCAGAAAGGGTGCGTTACGGCCTGTAAAGCACTTCTGGCCATCATAAGACATCGCACTGCCCTGCAGTCACTCGGCCATATAGGCACTTGGCAACCAGCTTGCATTGACGACTGACTGCAAGCACCCCATGATCATGTGAGCGCCATTTGCAATCTTCTGTGTCACCTTCCCCAGAAAGTCAACAGGGAAGCCAGCAGGGAAGGTTGTAAGCGAAGGGGACAGAGGGAAACCTGTCAGTGGTGTGCAGGAACAAAGCTCAGATCCTGAAGATTTAAGCTTCATTCCTCCAGCCCCATGAAGGATTCCCCCTTCACTTAACAACTGCTTCACTCAACGACTGAGATTCTGGTCCCAATTGTGGTCGTTAGGTGAGGAATACCTGTATAGATGTTTATACACAAATAATTCCCACAATAAATATGGGAATATAGCGGCTTAAAGCATTTCTCATACTCTTTGCCTTGTGGCTTTTGCAGATTTGAAAGTTTCCTAGAATACTCTGTTCCAGAAATATTGCGTGTTCCCTTGGAAGAACTGTGCCTTCACATCATGGTATGATATTTGAGCTTTAAATATTAATTCTCTTGATTTACCAGGAAACCCTGAGAATCTGGGCAAGTGTATTGCTATTGTTTACCTTTCTGAATGAGAAAAATCCTTGCAAGAAGTTGTAACCTCTTGGCAAGACTGTAGGAAAGCTTAGTCATACCTTAAATGCCCATATGATGTATGGAAATCAGGTAGAGGTGAAGGAGTAGACAATTATCTAATCTCATGTTTGCCATGCCCATCTGAAAAAAGATGTTTTTGAGTGATATGCCTTTCCATAAATGAAAAATAAGTATTTATTAAATAAGTATTATGGCTTTTGTACATTGCACATAGACATCACATGCAAGCATGAAATCCTGGCATAAATCTAAAGGTGCAGGATATGGGTGCTGGTTTGAGAAACAGAGATATATGGGAAATGACTATGAATGTTGAAGATTAGTGTTGCTTGTCTAGCAAAACTTTTCACATAGTTCCAGGGTAGGACAAAGAGAGGCTATGGTTGCCATAGTTCAAACATCATGTGCAGCCAGGACACATAGCTGACTGAAGCAGGACAACAAATAGTCCCTCTTCCTATATCAAAATGCATAGAACCCATACAGCTAGCTAAATTACTTTGAAACCTGAAATAGAAAATCCTATCATACTGGATATTACATATTATCTTTTGGAAGTAAACATGAAAATAAATAATCTAGAAATAGCCAAAATACTGCTTAGAATCTGTGAATAAGAATTATGTACCTTGAGCTTCATTCTATTTTATTTTTTTGTCTGATTTATCTGTAGAAATGTAATCTTGGCTCTCCTGAAGAATTCCTCTCCAAAGCATTAGACCCACCTCAGCCTCAAATTGTTGCCAAAGCCATGAATCTTCTGCGGAAGATTGGGGCTTGTGAATTAAGTGAGCCCAAGTTGACTCCTCTAGGCCAACATCTTGCATCCTTGCCAGTCAATGTAAAGATTGGTAAAATGCTTATATTTGGTGCTGTTTTTGGCTGCTTGGATCCAGTGGTAAGTTGATGACTAACACTGGGTTGCCCATTACTGGCTAATGCAGTGCCAGTGCTCATGAAATAAATGTTAATCTGAGGACTTGTTCTATATAGCCAGGCAGATTATGTTTTTTATGATATGTAAAATACTATTTTAGCTGATTCAGTGCAAAACTGATGCTCACTATTGCTTACTTCTGGGATTTTTAAAATATCCAACTCACAGCTTTGAAAAACAAAATGGTGGTCTGTGGTCTGCTCTGCTTCCAAATCATTCAAAAACTTCTGGTCACATTATTATATCTCTGTCATTTCCATATAGAATTTTCATCTTTGCTTCATTATTTTAGACTCTGACAGCCCTCACTAAATTTTGGTAGATTGACAGTATGGTGCCTAGTACATCCTCATAAGGTGTCCATAGCATCCAAAATATAATGTCAGAATAGTATGAAATGTGTGAATGCTGAAATCTCTCAAAGTTCTATAGGAATTGCCAAAATCTCCCAAGAATTTCACTTTTTTTCATGATAGCATCAGAAAATGTTGCTAGCCTTTCTCCAGTGTCCAGCATCTTACAGGTAGTCCTCGCTTAACAACCCTAATTGGGACCAGCAACTCTGCCACTAAGTGAAGCAGTTGCTAGGTGAGAAATCACGTGACTGCAACTCTGCTTTCTGGCTGGAGAGAGACAAGACTACTCAGTTTCACACCTTCGGCTTTTGTTTGCATCATAACCACTCCCCTGCCCTTTGGAATGCTTGTGTGCCTTCTTACTGTCTTATACACATCGAAAGTAATGGGTTCATGCTGCAGCCGAGGGCTGGGAGCAATGGGTACACTATGCAAACAGTCTTGAAACCCCTTTCTCTCCAGTCTCCACTCTAGGTGGGGGGGAGAAAAAAAGCAAGCGATTTCTGTAAGCAGTCTCTCCTTTGCCTGACCCTTTCCCGCTGCCATGCCAGCAAATCACACTGCTTTTGATGTGTAGAAGAGCAAACAGCTTACTCTCTTTCTCTCCAATCTCTCTGCTCTGGGGGAGGGGGGGGGTCAGCCAAAGAAGAGATTGCATAAAGAAATTGCTTGTTTTTTTCTCCTCCAGCCCCTTGCACAGAGGAGAGATTGGAGAGAAAGAGAGTAAGCTGTTTGCTCCTCAACACATCGAGAGCAATGCATTTGCGCCAGGAGTAGGAAAGGGTCAAGCAAAGGAGAGATTGCCTATAGAAATTGCTTGCTCTCCCCCCACAGAGCAGAGAGCTTGGAGAGAAAAAAATTTCAAGGGAGTACTGTAAGCTGTTTGCATAGCACACCCACAGCTCCCAACCCCGGGCTGCTGGTGCAGTCACACTGCTTTCAATGTGTAGAAGAGCAAACAGCTTACTTTCTTGCAATCCTTCTCTCCAAGCTCTCTGCTCTGCAAGGGGGGAAAGAAAGAAAAAAACACAGGTCAGGCACAGGACAACGCGTACTGATTGTAATGACGATCACGTGACTTAGGGATGCTGCAAAGGTCATAAATGGACCGCAACGTTATTTTCTCAGCATCGACGTAACTTCGAATGGTTGGTAAGCGAGGACTACCTGTACTGATTACATGATTATATGCTACATTCCTATGATAGTGACCTTATTCCTTATTCTAAAATAAGCATTTTAATAAAAATAAAAATTTCAGGAGTAAAAATATAAATACTGCTGTACATTGTTATATTTTGTAGGCTACTCTTGCAGCTGTAATGACCGAAAAATCTCCATTTACTACCCCAATTGGAAGAAAAGATGAAGCAGACCTGGCAAAATCATTTTTGGCATTGGCCAGTTCAGACCATTTGACAATTTACAAGGCATACCTTGGGTAACTTGAAATGACTTTTCCTAGGATAGATTTTGATGAATATGTTTTGTTTATCTGTTTATTGCCACTATATTTTCATTCATCTGTTCTCCCGTTGCTTTCTTTCTCTACAGCTATGCTACATTCCAAGCTGGGGAAGAACTTTGTTATGGTTAACTGCTTTCTCTACTCACTGTGCTTTTTGTATCTTCTGCGGTTATTTAATAACTTGTCCTCTGAGATAAGTTTGGATCATGGTGACAAATGGAAGTGGTTTGCCACTGGCTTCTTCCAAGATGTTTTGGCTTCCCTGGCTAATTTATAGCGCTGAGACTCCAACATTAGAATAAGTGCTATTGTACTTGAAAAATAAGCCCATTAAGGCAAATTTCAAAACATAAGAGTATGTACTTTGGGAGAGGCTGTACTTAAAAAGAATTTTCATGCCCGGTTTGGTCGCTTGAGTTCATTTTAGCATGATATGTGAACCCATTCATTTTGGCTGTGCATAAGCCAGGCAATGTTGGCTTATTTGGCAAATCATGATTTTAGAAACCCTGTCTTAGCATTATGTATGAAGTGAGCCATTGAATAACATAGGGCAATTGCTGTATGGTTAAGTGCAGTGTTGTCCAAATATGCTACATCTTTATTACATATTGGGTTGTAGGCTGAAGCTCAAAATGTAGTTTATTATAACCTTGAAGAGTTTTCTACTATTTTTACTCCCATAGTGCAAGTTTATTTGAGAAGGTATTAAACAGTGACACTAAATAGTGGTTAATTCTTCCATTTCTATTACAAATTGAGGACTGTGCTTTGAGAGAGTATAGCAACCTTATTACATAATCCACTAATAATTTTGCAGATGGAGTTGAGGATAACATGATTGCCCCATACTTTTCAAATTGCAGCTATGGACCTGCTTAAATCTAGTACTCAGTAACATTCAACACCAAAAGACTTTTGGTGAAAAGTCACTGGATAACCAAATCTGCACTGACAAGAATATTTTAGAGCCTTTTTTTCCCTGATCTCTTAGAGATTGTTACATTATATAAATTTTAGCTGCTATCTGCAAACTATTTATTTCTAAGCAAAAAGATCCTGAACGTATTTGTTTAAAAGGAAGCCTGTGTTGTTTAAAGGGAATATACTTCCATGTATGGGTTCTTTAATTTGAAGGTCTAGATGGCAGAACATTTTTTTAGCAATACATTGATATATTTTTCAGTGTTAATGTAATGAAGTATTTACATTATGATTGGCAGAAAAAAAGTTATTCCAATGGATTGTGCTTTGTCAATAAGCAACAAAAGGATCTTTTATCACTATGTTTTTAACCCTGTTGTTCATATTCCTTGAATAGTGATGATTTCTTATATTACAATAAAAGGAACGTTTTCTTTCTTTTTTACCTAGATGGAAGAAAGCCCGCTCTGAAGGAGGTTATCATGGCGAAATGATTTTCTGTAGGAGACATTTTCTGAACAGAACTTCACTACTAACTCTTGAGGTACCAGCAATCTATTTAATCTTTTTTTCCTAATCTGCAAGAAAGCCCCACTCAGTAAGGTAGAATATTAATATTTTAACTGGTTTATATTTTTAGCTTGTTTAAAGCATTTGAAACGAAGTACCGCTGAAACGAATTCACTTAGTTACCTGCAGATGTGGTGGCAAATATGTGAGACAGAGATAGTGGTAGAGGTAGAGATATCAATCGTGAAGTTCTAGACAGATGTTTTCTGCAGTAATGGTATTTATGTGCAGTATTAGAGGCAACAGGCAGATTATAAACGTATATGCAGTTACACTGCTATTTTTTAAATCTAGTGCTGAATTGTAAATATATTAATAAAACATGATCATGTAAATCTATTTTAGGATGTAAAACAAGAACTTATCAGAGTGGTGCGGGCAGCAGGATTTGCTGAACCTTCATGTCATTATGAAGGAATACACTCCCTGTCACTACAAGAAATGGTCCTCCTTAAAGCTGTGCTAACTGCAGGGCTATATGACAATGTGGGGAAGATAATCTACACCAAGTCCGTGGATGTGACAGAGAAATTAGCATGCATGGCAGAGACGGCTCAGGGTAAAGCACAAGTGCACCCTTCTTCCGTGAACAGGGATTTGCAGACCTATGGATGGCTGCTGTATCAAGAGAAGGTAAGCTAAATTAGATTTTTTATTGTAATGGTGTTAAAATACTGTATTACAGTACTTAAGGGTAGGATTTATCCACATGGTTGAGGTGGGCATGCTTTGTGGCCCTAGGTATATTTGGCATACTATAAAATAATTTCTGTCTTCCACTTCTATTAAAGGGTTTCTGTTTATTAAGGGGACTAAAATATAGAGGACTTCTGACTATGTATAAGCGTATATGTATAATTTTTTAACATGAATCCTGATAAGATTGAGATTGTGCACTAAGTAGATCCTTTTGCCCAGGAATTACAGAGACTTGGATTGGGATTGCTGTCTTTTAGGGGTTCTCCTAGATCATTATTATCTATGGAGGCTCAGACATTATCAAAGCTAGCTGAGCCTTTCCTCAGCGTAGGCGGTGGATTGGCGGGCTCTACCTATTCTGTATAAGAGTAGCCTGATCACGGAATCACTGCAGTGCTTACCTCAAGACTGAATTATTGTGATGTGCTTTATGGGCAGATGCCTTTTTGTATGCTATTTTTTATGTAAGACCTTTGTTCAGCATTTTATTTATTAAAGTTGTTACATTGGTATATAGTTCCATAACTACCAATGCTACTTATTTAAAGCTTGCAAAACATTTAGATTATGCAAGTCTGTCCTTTAAAAAAATACTTTTATTCTTCTACATGCAGCATTTTTGATAATGACCTTGAATATAGTGCTTTTATAACCATATTTTCAAGTAGGTATAAAGAAGAATTCCCAGGGTAGAAAAATAATTTCTGCATTAAAAGCAGCAATTTGATAAACCAAATTAATAGTGTTTGTCTTCCATTCAGATTAGGTATGCCAGGGTGTACTTAAAAGAGACAACCTTAATTTCCCCCTTTCCAATATTACTTTTTGGTGGAGACATAGAAGTGTTGCATCGTGAACGCCTTTTATCAGTTGATGGCTGGATCCATTTTCAGGTATATCTTACATTATATGTGAGTTGGGAAGAATTCTGTTATGCCACCATTTAGTGTGCAAAATCCATAGACAGATAAACCAATTGAAAGTTAAATATAAAGAAAATGCACTTGTCATCTTTACTGATAATACCTTTCAAACTTAGTAAACTTCTGTTCAGTTCCTGTAAAGAAAAAAAGAGCACAAATAATGTTTTATTATTTTGGCAGCAAAATTGGTGACTAGCTTGAGTGTTTCCTCCATTCAGTTTGAGATATTTCATGTTCATTAAGTCACTATTTCCTGAGGCATCTTATCTATGGAACTGTGATTTTAGGTAACTCCTGTCAAAATATTGCTAATTAGTTCATGCTGCCCTGAACTGGATGTTTCAGAAAACAAATTTAACAAGGAATAACTCCACGTTGGATATAAAATAGAATAAGTTCTAACACTGGAATTCTTGACTCTTTCCTAATCTTGCAAATCCTAATTTCAAGCAGCATCATTACATCTCTTCAGGGCCTAGTCTTCCACAATTTGTTTTAATTTCATAGCTATTAGAATTGTTTTAATCTTAATGATGAAGATTTGGGATATTAAAATATGAATATCTTAATAAAATATGCAATTTAACATTACTATTTTTACAGGCCCCTGTAAAAATTGCAGTAATTTTCAAGCAACTGAGAGCACTCATCGAGTCGGTTTTAAAGCAAAAACTTGAAAACCCTAAAATGTCCCTTGAAGGTAATTTTATTGTTTCTGTGTGCCATGTTGCCATGAAAAAATTGAACAAATATATATGTAAAATATGTGGGACAACTTTCTGCATTATTGCTGAAAATTATTCATGTGGCAGATGCTAATTTCCTGCAAAACATAACCCATAATTTATCTTGCATCCTTCTCTTTGAGATAGATAGATCACTTTAAAAACAGAGAATTGGCAAAATATGGAATAATAAACTATCTTAACTATTAAATAAGGCTAATGTGCTAAGCTCCATTTTTAGTAGATTCTACTTTGTTATATATTTTCCTACCTAAAGAGTTTCTCTATTTTATGCAATAAAAGGGATAACTAGCTCAGATTGGAACCATTTATTGAAATTAATGGGAAATCTCTATGCTCCAGAAGCAAATAGACAAAATGGATTCAATCAAGCATTAACCTGTCATGAATAGAAGATGGTAGAATCATGGTAGAATCATTTTTGTGGGTGGAAACAAATTTCTTTTATCTATTTCCTCCCCTCTCCCTTTAGTCTTTCATTCATCCTCCGCTCCCATTAAAACTTTGTTTCAGAGAGTTAGTGGAATTTCCAGAAAACAGAAGCATAGAGAAGGCTCTAGGGTACATGAGAGAAGCAATTGGTAAATAATTTATTAAACGATAAAATGGAAATATGTGCTACTTTATATCAAAGGTTATTATGAATACACTAATGCCATTTCAGGTATCTTAGACATGCTTAAAAAGTGCATTGTATAGCTTTGAATAGTGCATTGCATAGCTTAAAAAAAAAAAACCAAAGACAGTTGTTTGTAATCTGTGGTCACCATGGCAACATGTCCATATTCCTTAGCATGCTTTCTAAAGTTTCCTTTGTGACAAAGTCTGAATGGAATATTAAACATGATTGCAATCCCTAAGTGAGATTGATTATTGGCTTGATAATCTTATATAGTTGCTACCGTTGTTACACACACTGTTTCCAGGTTTGGCTTATGGTCACTCACTCATACACTCACAGCCTGTTGAGGCACGCGGATCTTGTCAGCCCCCCTTGCTTTCTACTTGGGTTTT